GCCAAGACACAGAGCTGAAGAAGAAGAGTGAAGGGGAGGGCAAAGGGAAGGGAAGAGATGAGAAAAGGCAAAAGAAGGGAGGGAAGAAAGAAGGTAATAAGGAAGGTGGAACAGAGGGAAAGGAAGGGAGGGGAGAAAGGGGGTTTGGTGTAAAAGGCCTTGGGGAAGCAGGGTTCGGTGCTGAGCATGCTGAGGTGGCCAAGCCTGACATTTGAGGACCCCATGTATACTGCTGGACATTGCTGGCTGGGACTGGGGGTGCAAAGAGCAGGGCTACCAACCAACCGAGGAACACAGAAGTTCCTTGGCAAGCCTGAGGCAGAGACAGTGGAAGGGAGCCCTTCCCCAGGGCCTGGGAAGAACACCCCCAGTTTCTGGAAGAGGTCTAATGGCAAAGATGACATCCACATAGCCACACACACACTGGGCACTCAGGCTAAGCCCGGGACACCTCACAGGGTTTCAGACCACAGGCCCCAGAGTTGGGCAACCGGAAATGCCCCTGGTCTCTTCCTCTAAATGGAAGACCATTTCCATTTCCAAGGCCTATTTCTCTTGAAGGCTATTGGATTTGTGACAGCTGTAGTGCGATTTCTCATTAGGTCAAACTCAGAGAATGTCAGGACGCCTGAACAGTCCTTTCGATATCCTCAAGGGACTCAGCGTCTGTGAGTGCAGGATGACAGTGGGCAGGGTCGGGCCACGGTTCTGGAGGCCCAGCTGGTGCTGAGGCTGGGAGGGACGCTGCCAGTCCCTGGGCTGTCTGCAGCTTCTCTGGCACCTGTGCAGCTCCAGCTGAGAGGGACTCTGCAGGCCGCTGTGGTCCCTCAGAAGCACTTCAAGCTCAGCCCCATCCAGACCCATGTGCCAAGGTAGGGTGCAGGAGAAAGGTGGGGTGGGCTATCGGTTCTCTTTGTGGGTGGGGACTTTGACAGTAAGACATTCCAGTGGACTGGGTGAGAGGTCTCCCTGGGGTCTGACTGTTCACGGGAGCTCCTTGCAGGCGAGACATCGATTCACTGCCTGTTGTTGGCCACTGACTTCTGCCCAGATTTGGCCCTGGAAGGGTGACCCATGGGCAGCCACGACCCTTTCTTAGGTTGCCCTTGGTCCTGCCCTCTCAGTTCTTGTAGCCCAGAGAGCTGGGACACTTGGCCTCCGCATCCTGCTGCCCTATGCCTGGACTCAGCTTTTGAGAACCAAGAGCCCAAATTGTGGGTGAAGAATCACAGGGAACGGAAAGGGCCCTGGGAGAGGGGCCAGTCAGGCGCACACAGACTGAGAGCGAGAAGCACCTCCCAAGCAAGTGCTACCATCACTCCCACTGCGCAAACAACGAGACCGCGGCATAGGGAGGCTGGGAGTCTGTCCACTTCCCACGGTTTACAGGTCACGGCTTAGCAGGCCGACCCAGGCATGCTGGCACAAAAGCTGTGTTACGGGGACTCCGGATGTTGGGGCAGAAGGAGGAGGCCCACGAGGCAGTGTGGAAATACTCGCAAGTGCTAGGTGGGTGTATGGTGGCTCCCCTGGGGACAGATCTTGCTGGAACAGCGACCTACGCACACATTGTCCCGTGGACCTGCAGACAATGTACACTCAGAACGAGGCTTTCTGCTCCTCTGTGCCATCGTGTCCTCCTTTCTTGGAACACACCCTGCTCACCATTCATCAGTAAACCCTCTTGCTGGGTTTCAATGAGGACAGTCAATTCAAGCATGAGGATCTTTGCGTGTGTTTGTGGGGGTGCACCACGTGGGGAATCCAAACCTTGCCTAGCGCCTTTGCATGCTGATCCTCACCCGAGATGCAGAGCCACTGCCAGGTGGTCAGGGTGGGGTGTACACAGTGTCTAGAGGACCCCAAGTATGCTGTGGGGCAGAGCCAAGACCTTACCCCAGAGCCCGACCCCCAGCCCCACTGCCTTCACCGGGCCACATCGCCACCTGAGACCATCCACAGAGAGGCCAAACCACAGGCCAACAGGAGGTGCTAGAAAAGTGTTCAGGGTTCACCCGTGTGGTCCTGAGGCTCGGGACCAGCATCTCCAAAGATCTGGGGCCCCAAAGCCCACTCCAGGATGAAAGAATATGGCTTTTCTTCTTCTCCGACCACAGGCCAAATCTTCCCCCATGTTTGTTGCCTCTCCAAATCCCTAGTGAATCAGAGCTGTATCCAAAACTAATAGTTTTCCTAAAATGATTCAATTGGAACACAATCTGTGGGAAAACAGCAGGGTATTTATCAAATTAAAATGAAAAATACAGAAAAACAGAATATAAGTAGAAAATAGGGAAAAAAACCTGTCTCTCTTTTTGTGCACAATTGTCCTTGGAAAAATTATTTACAAGAAACATAATATGTTACTAATAGTGAGGTGTGTTTTCACATTTCTCAATAATCACCATGTAGAAGAAAGGGTAACATTATTTAAGTAGTCAATTGGGTTCAAGCTTCCGAGTGGGTGGCAATGCATAGCTCTAACCAAGAGGGACCAATCACAAGTGCGTCCTCCTAGGGTCACATTGTTCAATATGCTTCTAAGGGTTTCAGCAATTCTTCCTGTGACGTCAACAGACAAGCCAACCCTGTTTTGGTCTCTGGTTTTGTGGACCTTCACTGTCAGCAGCAAGCTCCCTGAGACTGGGGTGAAGTAAGGACACGGGAAAAGCAGAGAGTTGTCCATTGATAATGGTATCTGATCTCCGAGATGGATGTCATCCATTCCTTTCCTAGGCTCACACAAATGTGCACAAGTGTTTGTGCGTGCGTGCACATGTACGTGACAAAACTCTGTCCAAGAGGTGAGTCTATTCCTTCCCTCCCTTGAATTTGGGTTGGCCTTAGTGATTTGTCTAAAAATGCGATGCAGCAAAAGTGACTTCTGAGATTTCCAAGGCTAGGTCATAAGGTGCTTGTGGCTGCCATGCTGGGAGGAAGCTCAAGCAAACCACATCAAGAGGCCCTGGCTGATGGAACACCAACTGAGAGGACAGTGACCAGTGGGACATGTCTTGTGGTGAGTATTTGTACCCATTTCTGTTGGTCATACCAGAGTATCCCCTTATCTATGGGAGAAGTGTTCTAAGAACCTCAGTGGATAGAACTAGAGGAAATACCAAACCCTGTATATGCTGCCTGTTCTCCTATACATGCATAAGTGTGATTATATTTCGTTTGTAAATTAGGCACAAAAAAAACTAAGAGCAATAATAACAAAGTAGAACAATTAACAATGTACTATAATAAAAGTTATGTAAATGTAGCCTCTCTCTCAAAAGAATTGTTTTTCACTTTTTCTATAGGGCACATGCCCTATAGAGAGACAGAGAAAGAGAGAGAAAGAGAGAGAAGAAATGAAAACCCCCCCCCATACACATCCCATGGAGGGCTGGCCATGCCACAATCCCTTCTCCTCCATTCTCCTCTTGGGATTCTGGGTACGCACGCACACACTCACATGCATCCAGTGTGATTTTTCAAGCTGCTGGTCCAGAATTTGAACTGAGCTTTGGCCATGTAAGATCTAGTGTCCTAATCTCCATGCCACTTGCTGGCCCTCTCTCAAAACAGCTTGTTGTACTGTACCATCAGTAACTGAAACTGGCAAAGCGAAACCACAGATAAGGGGAGAACTACTGTGTACCTGAGGTGGGAGCCACCAAGTCAGAGTTTAGGCCTACATTCAGCGTTAGTGAAATTGCCCGACAATTTTCCAGACTTGTTGCACCAATTTGCATTTCTATCAGCCATGTACAAGAGTTCCAGTTGCTCTGCATTCTTAACAATACTTGATATTTCCCATCTTTTTCCAAATTATCCATCCAATGGGCATTAGCAATATCTCCTTGCAGAGTTAATTTGCATGTTCCTGATAACAAATTATGGTGAGTATCTGAGAAGCTCTGGCCTCAGTGATCTCTGGAGTCCTTTCAGGGTCCCTAGTTTTGCACACAGTCCAGAGTGGTTCTGGGCAATGTACCAGGGACCATTTAGTGAGGATAGGAGGGACTGAGAAAAGGCTAGGTGCAGAGACAAACCAAACAGCTGGTCAACCTGCAGGGCTGTGGAAGGAAGGATGCGGCCATTTTAAGGAAAGCCCTCAGACTCACACATGGCCCCAGTAGGGCTCTGCTCTTCCTGTCTTAACCCTCATTCTTTAGCTCTTACCCTCCTTAACTTTTCCCATTAGTTCTTCTCACCACCACCACCCTTCATCTAGAGTATTTTTGGCATTTGTTTATTGCCTGCTTCTCCCATCTAGGGTACTGAGTCTTTCTGCTCATGACTGTCAGTGCCTGTGACAGTGCTGGCACGGAGTAGGTGCTCATGAAACAACTATTGAAGGTATGTGCCCAATCTCAACCACACAACCCTTGGGCAGAATTGGGAAGGGCTGTGGCCCTGTCTGCCAACCTCAGCCTGGCCCTTGGCCACGCAAATACCCCAGGCTTCTCCCTTCCAGACTTTCTTCCATGTCTATGCTAAGCTAAATTCTCATGAATACAAGTATGCAT